GCGCCCCCTAAAAATAACATATATAGCGTCAAAATAACGCCCATGCGCGTCCCGAATTAACGCGCATTTTATAGTAAGTGTGCTTATTTAGAACAAATGCTCCGGAACTAGATTCACTTAGTATTAACCTAGCTCCGGAACACTTTTGTTTTAGACAATATGCTTAAAATTTTTACATTTGTCTCAAAATAACGTCCATGCGCGTACTTAAAATAACGCGCATATACTCAAAATAACGCGCAGATGAGCGTTATTCCGCGAAAATACGGTATATATAATATGTATAAGGATTAGAACATAACTGAGTCAATGCCTACGATGTAAATAATGACATAAAACTTCCAGACGGATAGTGTCAATACACATAAAGTTAGAATTATTTTATGGAATTGCTGAAAGTATCGATAGGAAACTTACTAAAAATATGTATTTAATAATATGTAATAATAATAAATTATCAGTCCAACAAAAAATCTGATAAAAAAAATGAAAATTATTAAATATTTGTCAAAGAGGCATACAAATTTATATTGGGTCACTGAATTTTGTATCTAAAATTCGGATTTACCACAAAATCCCGAAATCCAAAACCCGGCACTACATAATCCCGACACCCAAAATCCCGACTAAGACAGAATCCCGGCAGTTTAAAATTCCGAAATGGTCAAGATCTAGGGATGGCAAATGATTTAAAACAGAATGTTTTATATCAATTTTATATTGCTTTAAAATGATTTTTTACATGTTTTAAAACATCGTCACTGAAATTGATATCATGATTAATAATAATGATATAGTTACGATCATGATTATAAATTCGAATCCTCCGACTTTTGACTTTTGTAACACAAACTGATGGCATATTTCGATTAAGAAATAAAAAATTCATGGCGACACTGAAGTTGAAATTAACCAATTATATACAGTAATTTTAGCTTCATCCATCAGCGCCATAATCAACAATGTTTTAAAACATTTTATTAAATCAGGTTAAAAAACATAAAAATCAATAAAAAGCGATTTTTTACCATCCCTATCAAGATCCTGAATAGTCAAAATCCCGAATAGTCAAGATCCTGATGAAGACAAAATCCCGACTAAAACAGAATCCCAACTAAGACAGGATCCCGACATTTTACAGCTGTGTTCATAATTCCTGAAACACCAGATAAAATTAGTCGAATGATTTTTTCGGTCAATTTGATTAAGATTGTGATTTCAGCATAATTGGTTCAAATTTATATATATTTAAGATCCGATAATAAAAATATTATAAAACCTGTACGTTGACATAATGATCTTTAGAATAAATATGCATGTGATACAAAAATAGCTTTTATGTACTGATCATGCCGAAATTACAATCTTAATCGAATCGGCTGAAAAGTCTTTCGACTAATTTTTATATGTTTCAGAATCACGAATGATCAAGTCAAAATCTTGAAAATTTATAGTAAGATCCCAACACAAGCTTATAGCTATCATGTTGAATATTATAATATGGAATACATCCAGTAAAACTTCCGACAAATTATTTCAAAGAGTAAATTCCTTTCTATTGTATATTATATCTAAAGCAACATAAAAAGGCACACCAAAGCTCTAGAATTTGAGTTTAGTGACACTGGCTTCCATAAGCTAAATCGGTAATAAAGTGCTAAACATATTTTGATTAACGATATTTTCGAAATGGCATCGTGAGTTGTATTAAACCGATTAGCTATGTAATATAAGTTACCTACTTTAGAGGTACAAAATAATTTATTATATGAGTAATGCCAAAAGAAAATGTGACTTCGATCATATATAAATGAAGGCCCATTTTCCCTGCGGCAGAGTGGTTTTAGTTGGTATATTTCATCTGATCAGAAAATCACAATTTACCCAACATTAAAGATTGATACTTTAATTATTTCCATATTTAAGCTTGTGAAAATGATAGACATTCATGTAAAATGTCAAAGTATCCAGAGTAATAAGGTATATAACATGTATTTTAAAACGTATAGAGCACTCATGACAGCAGGTAATTTTATAATATACAAGAGAAAAATGGGGCGCCACCGGCGCCCCTATTGCATTAATTGTGTCAATTTTGGTCAAATTCTTTAATAAAATATCATGTAATTAATACTGAGCCAGGGATTACCACAAGCAGTTGAGCTGGTTCAGCTTCATACTGACCGGTGGCTTCTCACCTGCATAATGCAGGCTATCAAACATGACCATGTGATATTTATGTTCAGTAGCTATGATAAGGAAATGGCGATAGAGAGGTCAGGGTCGCGAATTGACGACAGCTAGGGCTGAATTGGTGATGGCTAGTATGGAATGAAAACCGCACTTTCCTCTAAATCAGCCGCTTTCTTACAGTATCCATTATTAAGATAGAATTGCTGTTTGCGAAAGGCTGTTTATAATCATACTTTTTCTGTAATTTTGATTATGCGGGATTGGTCCTATTTCCGTTGCTATTTTTACGGGGCATATTACCCCTGCTTAGTTCTGTTGACTTTTGTCAACGAATGAAATTACAGCGGATCGGTATAGTATAGGTGAGCAGTTTATAAATCGGTCTGTACTATACGGATCG